TGCACAGAAGGCTAGAAAATGTAATTTTCTATTTGGGCAACTGGATGATTTAAATAAAAGTGGATTTATGTTGCTAAGACAAGTCTCAAAAATTTTCCCAGTTTCGGCGTTCAGATCAAAGTTCAGGCTCTCTGGGTGATATTATGTTTTCTCCATCAGGTCTATATGAGATTTCCTCTTTAAAGAGATCTAGCAACTGAAAGACAAGCTACATAATGTACAATAGTAAAGGAGAAAACAAAACTACGGCAAGAATTCTTACTGGGAAATTAATTGTTAAAAAGTATCTATGGGTAAGAGGATCAAAAACTCTCTTACCTGGCAGTAAAATTAGTTTCTTTGTTAGCTCATCTGACCCCCTGGTCTTGCGCTCTCTCTCTGGAAAGATTTCCCTTGTCTATTGTACTTTGTGGCTCCCAGCTCTCCACTATAAAGGGGTTGTTTCTTGCCCTTACCCTTCAGGGCTACATTTAAGAAGGATAATAGGGAAGTGACTCTTCCTTGGTGGCCTATGTAACTTTCACAATCCACTTTTTACTGGTATAAATTGGGGAGCAAAGTGGAAAAAAATTATTCATGTTTAAATAATAATTTACATTAGTCCATAATGTACAGTAGCTATCACACTGTACATTGTATAAATGAGATTGGTAAGCTAGCCTACCCAGATGAAGTGGGGTCTACAGAAGGCTATGGATAGGACCAATCCAGCCTTATGTATAAGCCTAATACTACAAAAGAAAGTTAAGTTTTCAGAAGCTCTGATGTTTTGTATTCCAGAAGGGCTGAGTATTGGGAAAGCTTAGAAACTTATACTTTCATTTCAGCTGATAAAGTAACTAATTATTTTATGTTTTCCTTAGATAGGTAAACTCAAGTGATATTTCTGTAAATCTGGACTTTTCATTGGTTTTTGTCAAGATGAGGGTTATGTAAGAGTAATATATACATATATATATATACATATATATATATATCTCCACTATGTATGGGATATTATATCCCATAGGGATATAATA